GCCTTGAGGGAATACTCGTCTAGGGGGAGTGGGAAAGGTACCCTGAGGCTCAGGAGAGAGACCACTTGCGCCCACCCTGGGCCCTTGGGGTTGCTGAACCCACAAGAGGCAGTGAGACAACATGCAGGCCCACCCCTCAAGCCGACACACACATACGTATCCACTCACTCCAGGCATCTGAGTGCCTCCTACACACCAGACACGGGTTTGGCTACAGGAATAAAAGTGGGAAAACAGAGAAGGGGGCTGCCCTGGTGGAGCCTTCAAGTCTGCGAGAGGTTGGGATGGGCAGACCATAAACAAGAATCAGAATGACTAGTGCACTGTTTCTTTGCAATTGTGGTAAGCGCTTCCCAGGAATTCAGGATGCCTTAGGGAGAATAGTCTGGCCTGGGGTGGGAGGAGAGATGCTGAAAAAAGATGAAGAAGGTTCAACATGGCCAGAGCAGAAGAAAGAAAGGGGAACACTTAGGAAGATAAGGCTGGAAGGTCAGCAGGGCCAGACCACCCAGGCGTTTGCGGGAATTTGGACTTCACACATGTGGATGCACGCACACAGCTCTTGCCAGGTTCCCACCCCCATCCTGGGGTCCTTCTGGTGCCCATTTGATGCAATCCTGTTCCCACCCACTGCCAGTCAGAGATAAAGGAGGGACAAGGGGGGTCTGCCAGGTACTGCCAGGTACCTACTCTTCACACCCAGGGGAGGAGACCAGGTTGGCTCCTGGCAGGGGATGGGATTAAATGACCCAGAGGTGCCCCTGGGCTTGGGCCCCACATCCAGAGTTGCCAGGGAGTGTGGCTGAGATCAGCACCGGTGCCCAGCAGTCACACTGGGGACGTTACCGAGTGGGCTGGGTGAGGGCGGCCGCCCCCAGTCGCAGGATGAGAGGCCCCTTGGGGTTTCGGATCTTCTTGATGGCAGATGTCTTCATGAGGCTGAGTCTGCGGATGAGGTTGAAGCCTTTGGGGAGACAGCAGGGGAGAGCTCAGCTGGGCAGGTGAGGAGGGTTACAGGCTACGCCAGGATGATGGTGGAAGGGGAACAAGAGGGTGAGACAGGCACTCACCAGTCACGTTGGTCGATAAGTCACTTCTGTGTTCCAACCTGAGTCCTTCTTGCTGTGAAAGTGGGCACTGTTCACCTGGAAGAGAATTGGCAGCAGGGCATTGGGTGGGCTCAGGGTGAAGTAGCCTGAGCTACTGCTTGGGGAACCTGGGGCGGAGCAAGTTTCTGTCCCTTATCCTGGAACCCCGCCTTGGGATAGCTTTCTGAGCCTGAGCCTGGCTACCCTCAGAGGAGGACCTCAACCTACAAATGGGAAGACTGAAGCTCAGGGTCTGAGGCCTGGCTCAAAGTTATTACATGAGTGCACACCAAGCAGAACCAGAATTCCTGGTACCCAAATCCCCCAAGGGCCAGGCCACAAGAGAGAGAACAGAGAAATTCCAGGCAGCCCTGCAGCTCAGAGAGTGGGGAGCAGTATATGTATATCTATTCCTCCATGACATGCATCTAAGTGGGGTACTGAGGAGCACGTCAAGGGCAAGGACACGTCAGGCCCTTGCACACAGTGTTATACACAAGTGCACGTGCATCTGCGCATGTGTGTGAGTCGGGGGTGCCTGTGCCACCAGGGGTGCCATGTGCAGTTATACCTGCATTCTCAGCTATGGGTGGGGTTCCACTTCCCACACCAGAATCAGATAAGCAGGCCAGATACAAGTCTGAGCCAACAAAATACTTTTCACCTGGATAACTACCTTGTGAAATAGTGAAAAGAGAATGTGGGCCTGAGGGGACCACAAGCTCAAAGGACCCTCAAGGCCTTAGGGCTCTGGCAGGTACAATAAGGGGGTTAACACTCCCGGAGAAAAGGAGCCAATTTAGGTCTCCAGGATGCCGAGGGGTCAGGTGGGCAGCCGCAGGCCTGCTCCTCCCTGGTGATGATTAAGCAGAGGGATTGGGAAATGTGGCAAAAATTGGGAAACAGAGGCTAGATTCAAACAGGCCTTCCTATCAATGCAGATGGGGTAGCTGGGACAGGACAGTGAAAGCAGCTCCTAAGAAGCTCGGCATTTGACTCCCTGGCTGCCCAGTGGAAGGAGGAATCTTGGATCCCTAGGCCCGATGACCCCTCTAGAGTCTCCCACCCCCAGGTCTGGACAGAAATATTATCATTGTCTTTGGCATCGGCAGTAAAAAGGGGTGACTCACCCCTTGGCTATGGGCCCGGATTCTTTACAGATGTTGAAATTCTCTGCCCCAACTCCCAGGGGACCCAGTGGAGAGATTAAGGCACACACTCACACACAGAAACACAGATGTACACATACAACCCATAGGCAGTCACCTGCACCCCAGATGCACAGACTCCTCGCATCTGCACCTCGGTTACCTTCAGCTAGATTCAGCTTTTAGGAGCACTGTTTCTGCTCGGGAAGGCAGTGGAGTCCTGAGCCCAAAGGGCACCCACCCATCAGGACAGGGCAAGTTGCCCAGTCAACTTCCTCTGGCGTTAGGCCCTGGAAAGCTGCCCCTCTCTGTCCCATCCAGTGTCTGGGCCTTTGGGCAAGCCCTTTATCCAGGGCAGGCCACGGCAGATGGGGAGCACGTGAGCTGGAGGGCGGATTCTCCACCAGAGAGGATTGGAGCGGCCTGGGCTTCTTTCATGATGCAGTTTCCTTCCATCTGGAGAGCTCCCCACCTCCACCAGACCCCATGGGTCCTGTCAGCACTCTGTGCACAGCATGGATTTATGTGCTGGGGAGGGAGTAGGTTAGTCTCTCACTCAGAGACCCAGGAATATGTACAGATGCACAGAGCAACTGAGCTGCAATACAGAGGCCCAGAGACACATGAATGTGCAAAAAGAAACACACACACACACACTCACCACACACACACACACACACTTAGGTTTGTAAGTGCAAATATCTCAGGTCACCATGACCCCAATCTCCAGTCCTTTCTATAAAATGATGCCCAGATGACCCAAGCGCATAGCCACATATGTGCACGGGACCCCAGTACCTCCAGGAGCTAATGGCAAACCTATGGCACCGCCCTCCTCCTGAGTCATCTCACCTGTGTCTGCCCCGTGGTTGCAGGTGGCCCAGAGGCTGAGCAGCCACAAGCCAGGAACCCAAGATGCCCACATCCTGGTCCTGGGAGGCCAAGCACAGCCGCAGCACCTGAAAACCAGAGAGACCGGGGAGGTAGATTCCTGAGCGCACACAGAACAATTCTACACATGGGTAAGTAATGGCCAGTCTGCAGAGCCCAGGCCTCAGTCCCTCTCAGAGACCCAACCACAGACCTTTGACTAGGATTTGGGTCAGGGTGATATTCAAAATATTTAACTAGTGGTATGGCACAAACACTGAGCAGCCAGGGCAGAGGGCTGGCCGGAGCACAGAAACAGGTTCCAGGCAGCATCTAGCCCTACCAGTGGGTATTTGCTAGACTGAGAATTTCTAGAGGGTCTTAGAAGGCCAGGTCAATTGGGAGAGCAAGCGGGGCTGAGGCAGAGAATATTTAACAAGACACTTGGAAGTTTTTCAATATTTTATCAACCTGTGCACAGTATTGGTATATACCAGCCTAACACCTGGCTAGCTGCACCCAGTTCAGCCAGAGAGCCCTGCCAAGCCCCCATAAGGTTGGGGTTGATGTCTGGGCTGAGTGTCCTGGCAGGCATCACAGGGTTGTGTGTGGGCCAAGGAAGCCTCCCCCATAGGTACAGTGGACAGAAGAGCAGGTCATCGGGGCTCAGGACCTTGTTGCAGACCTCCCCTGCTGATGGATGCTCGTCTTTTAGTTTTATTAAACCCTGATGAATGGGCCCAGATAAATCAATGAGGGCTCAGCAAGCAGCCAGCACAGTCATACATCATCTGTCTCCCCAGAGACAGGCAGTTCACACACACACACACACACACACAAATCATGCATGTGTCATTATGATACACACAGATACACACACACATCTGTGCCAGTGTGTTTCATACAAACCCACCTGCACACAGGCATGCTCAGAGACACATATTCACCGATACACCCAGATGCACCCGCTTACACATACACACGTGCACACAGCTAGCCTATGATCACCCCGTCAGTGGCCCCTTCTGGGAAGTTCTTATGCAAGTCTGACTTCATTCCCCCCAGCTGCAATGGAGTCCTATTTCAACTCCCTCAGACCTGGACAGGGAATGAGTGCAGAAGGGACCCCCTCCCCCCTATTTGGAGGGAGGATCCCAATCTCCTTACTGGGGCAGAACTATTCCCCCACCCTATTCAGCTCCCTCTTAGTGGTATACACATCCCACCTCTCCAACCCTACCCTGGCTTCCCCCGCGGGCCGGTCAGCGGAAGGGCTGCCAACACGTGAACACGTGTGGAGGCATAAGCACCCATGTACTCTCGTGCCCTTTGGGATCCTGAGCTCTAGGCTCCACTCACCCCGTCCAGAGCAGGGGGCTACTGGGATAGAAGGAGAGAAACTTCCAAGGAGATGATCTCACCTCAACACAAAGGCACAGATTTGGGGGCAGGGAGAGTCACAACTGGGATGGAGTCTAGAGCTCATCCTGCCTTAGAGGAGATGGAGAGCCGGAGAGGGGATGCCACTGGCCCCAGGTCACACAGCAAGTCCAGGGCAGAAAGGGCCCTTCAGTCCAGAACCCGAGGCAGCCCACTCCATCCCCACTTACCGTGCTGGGGATCCCCCACCTCACTGAGTAATCCAGGCTGTCAGGGGAAGGGGCTTGGGTTCCTAAGGGCCTGCGGGGGTGGGGGCGGGTCCTTGATCACTTCTGGCTGGTCAACTCCGGGCCCTAGTTCCCCTGTCCCGAGCTCCTGGGGCTGAATGCTGCCCAGTGCGCCTGCCCTGTCGGGTCTGCCAGCCACTCCGGGTGGGGGGAGAGGGGGCGGTTCCAGGGGGCTGGGGACCTGCCAAGGGCTGCTAATGGAACACAGCTGGACCCGCCCTCCCGCCAGTCAGGAGGTGGGAGGAAGGGCTGGGAGAAGGCTCTAGTGTCGACTCCAGTGGCGGTGTAGCAGTGGTGGGACAGAAGCACAGCCCCACTAGCCTGGCCGGGCTCCCAGGCCCGCCCCTCCCACTTCTCTGCCAGGTGAGCAAGCAAAAGGATGAGGGAGGCGGGACCCAGCGTGCCCAGAGCTGCCCTGGAAGGGGGTTCCTCCGGGCAAGGGGGCAGACGAGTGGGCGAGAATACGCTCCTTTAAGAACTAGGCCTGGAGCTTGAAGGGCCTCCCCTGTGCCACCCCCTTTCCTGTCCCTGGCTGGGCCTCCAGAAGACTTGGTGGGGGAAAGACCCCCCTCCCCAGTTCCACGGCACCCATGACGTGGCTGCTGCCCGAGCCTCCTTGGTCAGCTTTTTCCAGCTTCCCAGCCTAACACTCCCAGTTAGTCTGTTCCTCTGTCTGTCTGAGCTGGGGGGAGGGGCCCTCTCCAGAAGGGGGGGTGTGTGTGTGCTAAATTAACCCCTTCTGCTCTGACCCCATTCCCAGAGGGGGGAACCAAGCCGGTCCTCCTTACTCCATGAGGTTGGGAGGGCCTGGCTTTGTGGCTCCAACTCGCTATTTAACCAGGACTCCATTTTTCTCATCCGTGAGATGGGACAATGAATGTCTCTGTCTCACGGGGTTGCTGCAGCAGGAAATGAGTTGAAGCCTGTTAAAGCGCTTACTACAGGGCCTGGCCCAAAGAGAAGCTCCATAAATATTCACTGTTACCATCATTAGGTGGTGGAAGCAGCGGGAGCTGGGACAAAACAAGAGGACAAGGCTGGACTGGCGTTCTCAGCAGTGATGGGGAAGGGCTGCTTTATGTTTAGGAGCCGGGAAGCGAGAGGGAAAGAGGCTGGAGGAGAGATTGGACTTCTCAGGGGAAAAGAGCAGGCAATATGTCCAGCTCTGTCCCCCAGTGGCAAGGGGATGACCAAGGTGACCTTTGAGGTTTTCCCCTGGAGGCAGCAAATGAATTTCTGGGCACCAAGACTGAGTAACTATGGAGAAGAGGCACAGAAGGTCTAAGAGTACTGGGAATGGATGTGGGGGTAGTGGGGGGAACAACCTCAACCCCCCACAGAAGTGCCCTGACGGAGAAGGGGGCTTCCCATAGAAGCAACAAGGGGGAGCCATGGCCCCAGCTAAACCCAGGTGGGGGTGAGGGAGCAGGCCTGGGATTTCCCTGCCTGCAAACCAGAGGCGCTGAGTCAGCGGAAACCCCAACCGTGGCCACGGAGGCGCCCATTGTGGTCCCTGCTCAGAGCCAGCCCAGATGTGGTGGCAACAGTGGTGGGGCCAGGGAAGCGCTGAGCTCAGCAGGCGGGAAATGGAGGGGGTGCTGGTTTCTGGGTGCTGCAGGCTCAGGGGTGGGCAGGCCCAGGTCCAGCTGGCCCATTGGGTCCAGCCTCAGTGGTGGGCACTTGGGAAATAACAGGCCACACATTTAGGTCAGGCTCTGCGCTGAGATCATCACATGGGTTAACATCTTTAATCCTCACAGCAACCCCAGGCTGGAGAATTCTATTCTTATGGGCCCCCCTACCTCCACATTTCCCCCTCCTCCCTGCTATTCCAAAGCAGAAATACTTTGGGTCTGGGAATGCTCAAAATTTTTTCATGTAAGTTAATGATAATGGCATTCCCTGACCCCCCAAATAATAATCTATTAGGTCATACCAAATAGGAACATTCTACTTTCAGATAGTGAAGGAAACTTGCATGTCTGTTCCACAGATGGGAGACCTGGAGTTGAGGAGCAACACAGCTTGCCCAAGAGCACCAGCACAGCTAGCGGAGCAGCCAGGAGGACCATGCCCAGCTAGCCGGGACACAAGCTCCCAGCCAATTCCTATCCTCCCTATTTATACTCCCAACTCTCCCAGCAGGAGGCAAAGGCTGGACTCTGAGCCAGGGATGGAGGAACCTGAGAAAGGTAAGCCCAGACACGTTCCCACAGCACCCTAAGGTGCTCACATGAGCAGCCCAGCCTGGACACACTATCACAACGCAGTCTAGGGGTGTGCCTATGCCCCTTCTTTCCCGACACAGATACACACAGATCCAAAAACATGCAGTCAGATGTGCTTTCTCATGACACGTGTGTGTAGACCCCACGTGAATGTGTGTGCACACAGATACATGCACACACGATACGCCTCCACATGAACAGACGCCGAGCGCCACATGCGTGAGCACAGATAAGGCCACAGAAAGATACCCCTGGACAAACCCAAAGAGTGCATACTTCTCAGAACGCATGCACACAGCACACATACACTTGGATACACACAGAGATACATGCACGCACATACAGACTTGAGTTTGCACAGATACACACAAACACACACTTGTGTCCAAGGCATACACATGTATATGCAGGCAGAGAAGCCTGCAGACACATAGCGCATGCACACGCATGCAGGCATGCATGCACTGACACACATACACAGTGTAGCCGTGCTGACATTCATGTGCATTCAGCCCCAGAAAGCCTTGCACGCCAGCAAGCAGGGTATCCCGTGGGGCTGGGCTCAGTGCCCTCACCCCAGATGGCATCGCACGAGGTAATCAACGCTGCTAATCGCCACCAGCTGCCCTGGTGCCTGCCTGCCGCTGCCGGGTGGGGCTGCCAAGGCCTCCTGAGCCTAGGGTAGTATGCCCAGATGTCATCAGTCCCCAAGGACCTACCCACCCCATCATCCCAGCTGGCCACTGGGGAATCCCCATCTGGCAGGGGCAATACCTGGGGCGTGGGGAAAATGAAGAGCCACGACAGGGCTGGTCCCAGGATGGGCCTGTTAACCCCCATGAGTAGTTCTGAACCCCTACATGCATACATGCACTTCTGGCCCAGGCATATGTGCACATAGATGTAAACAGAGGCATATCACACACACACAGAAGCCTATCACACTCATGTACACACACACAGAGAAGCCTATCACACGTGCACACACATGCACAGAAGCCTAGCACACATGTCTAAATCAGGCCCCTTAATTATCCCTACAGATCTGTGTCTCCCTTTCTTCCTCCTTCTGGTAAATGCCGCCACAATTCATTCAGATGCCTGGGCCAAAAACCTAAGAGTCATCTCTTGGCTCCTTCCCTTCCCCACCACCACCATCCAATCCTGTCAGTTCTCTCCCCTCGATCTTCCCCATCCACTGATTCAGCAGCATCCACCGCTTCCCCCTCCTGCCGAAGTCACCACCGCCCGCCCCTGCGGAGCCCCCAAAGCCACTTCCGCCCGGCATCCAGCAAGCCCTTTCCAGTCCTGCTGCCACGCGTTCCAGATTGAACTCTGGGTTCAATCTCCCAGTTCTCATTTCCCCTAGAAAAAGTCCCACAGTCTGTCCCTGGACCTTACCAATCCTTCCTGTCCTGTCCCCTTACCCAGAAGCTGTGCCCCCCAGCAGGGTCCTTTCTCAGCCCTGAAGCTGCCAGCTTAGTTTTCCCCTCTGGGCTTTTGCCACAACTCTGCCCTGTGGCTGGAAGGCCAGGGCCCTGATCTTCACGAAGCTGGCTCTTTGACATCAGGTCTCACCCACAAGTCACCTCCTCAGCGTGGCCTGGTGACCACCAGATGGAGAGGATCCCAAGTCGCGGCCTATCACAGGACCCTGTTTTACATCTCTGCATAGCTCTGGTGTTTGCATGTTTGTCCCCTTGTGCTCCAGTAAGTGAGAGGCTTCAGGCGGGGCCTGGAGCTCCCTGCCCTACTGCTGGGCCTGGCACTCTTCTGTCCACCACTGAGCTGGTAACTAAATGCACACAAGACATGCCCAGCCTGGGGTATGACACACAGGCACACAGGCAAATGTACCTGCGGCAGATACACAGACACACACGCAGCCTCTGGGTCATAGAGGAGACAGACCAGAGAGCAAGGCCTTTCTGCCTCCTTCAGTTTCTCTGGGCATCTCTGTCCTGTCTCCTTTTGACTCTGCTCTCTCACTGTCTCCATCTGGGTCTGGGGAGACCGCTGCTTCTGGAGCTCTTTCCTCCAGCTGTGACTCTCGTCCCCTCTCCAGCTCTCTCTGGCCTTTTCTCACGCGCTCATTCTAACTGTCCTCTTTCCTTTAGTCCGGGATCTGCATCTCTAACTCTGTATCTCTGTCTCCCTGTGTCTCTGGCCCCTGCTCTTTTCTCACATTTCTGTGCCTTTTTATCTCTGGCCTTCCCTGATCTCTGTTTCTCTTTACCGTCTGCCTCTCAATCTCTGTTTCTATCTGCCTGTGTCTCTGTTTCTGGCTCTGTGTCTCTGACTCTGTCTCTCGTTTTCCTGCCCTCCCTTTCCTTGCCCTAAATCAGCCCTGCCACCCTGTCTGCATGGCCGTCAGCGGCCCTGTGGCAGGGAAACCCATCTTTCACCTCTAGTGGCAGCTTTATGGTCATGACGGGAGGGCCAGGGATCCACTTTGCTGATGCCCACCTCCCCTGCCCGGCCATGGTGAGCTCCACGAGGACAGCCCTGGCCTTGGCAGCATTTCCAGATGCCCGGCCAGGGTATCTTACTTCAGGAGCTAATGGAACCAGACACCTGCTTGGCTGACCACCCTGGACCTTCGGATGGGCACTGCTGTGGATGTGGCAGGTACCAGGCTGAGAGATGCTGAAGGAAAGAGAACATTCCAGGTGTCCTGGGCCCTACCTTATTGCCCCCTGGATTCTGCCCACCTGTTCAGAGAGACCCATGAAAAACAGCAGGCACAAAAGGCCTGGACTCCAGTCCTACCTCTAGCCACTGTGTGACCTGGGGATCCTGGCCCCCAGGTAACTGAAAGTTCCCACAAAAACTCACCTCAGCTAGTGTGTTAAAGCCTCTTATCTGACTACCTTAGTAGTCCTCAGCTGGGCAATTTTGCTTCCAGGGGACATTTGGTGATGTCTGGAGACAGGTTTGACCATCACAACTTGAAGGGGGACCTACTGGCATCTAGAAGAGAGAAGTGGCCAGGGCGCTGCTGAGCATCCGGCAACAAGAAAGACTCGACAATGCAACGAGTCAACAGCACCAAGGTGGGGAGACCCTGCTGTACCCGAGGGGAAGTCTGCTGCTTCAGAATGCCCTTGCTCCCCGGCCTCCCTTAAACTCTGATTATTCTCTGACAGAGACGGCCATGAGCGAACCGCAGGTCTGGCCTCGGCTCTACCTGCCTTGATAGTATCTAGCCCTCACCAGGCCCAGCCACACACAAAGAAATGTGTCTTAGTCTCTCAACAAGCACGAGTGCCCGGCACTGTGCATGGGGAGCGTAGTCAGCTCTTGGGACAACCCACAGGGCAGAGTCCTCCCAGGAAAATGTCCACACCATGGGGGCCTGGGCCTGTGATTTTCCCACTGTGAGCCTCTATTTGCTCATCTGTCAAATGGGACCTACCCCCTCATCTAACCTGGCAACAATTCTCAGAGATATGTCGCTGCAGTTCATCTCCACAAGGATTCAAGATTTAAGTCTTGAGGTACTAGGTCCTAGGTGTCATGGAGCAGAGATTTTAACTCAGTTCTGCCTGAACCCAGGACCCAGGTCACCCATAGTCCCCCAAGTGCTATGAGAGTAGAGTGCAAGTTCTCAAGCTTGATTGCTGGGCTCCACCCCCAGAACCTTCTGATTCCACAGTTTACTTTTGCATACATGTGAGCAGACATTGCCTGCTGCTGCTGGCCCAGAGACCACATCCAGGAACCCTAGAGTAGAGCATGATGTCATATTGCCTCTATGGGGTTCAAATCCTGGCTCCGGCTCTTGCTGGCTCTACAACTTGGGAATATCACTTAACCTCTTCCTCTGAAAAGCAGAGATAACAGCAACATCACATAGGGTTTGCTGAAAGGATTAAAGGAGATAATGACAAAGGGAAAGCCTGTCTCACAAGTCGCACCTGACAAATACTCATAAATACTCACCAGCATGAGTCCCCAACACAGCAACTCCCCACTGCCCTAGACACACAGAAGCTCCGAGAGGATTAACCTTCCTCTTCGCCTGTCTCCTGCCACTTGCCTGCACGGGGCAGGACACGGAGATGACATCTCAGGACTAGCACAGGAGGAGAAGGAGGATGCAGGCCACGTCTGCCAGGGCCCAAGGGGCCTCTGCCCCACAGCACAGGCCTCCGGAAGCAGAGGTGAGAGCAGAGCACAGGGAGCACTGATGACCTCCGTGCCGACCTGGTCCCTCACCTTCTGCCAGGCTCTGCCAACTGCCAGTAATTCTTTTGGGGGGTAAGAGCTGCCATCCTTTGACTACCAATCAACTCAAATCAGTCTCTGCATTGTGTAACCCTTAGCCAACTCCTAGGCCTCTCTGGGTCTTATTTTCTTCACCTGAGACTCCAACAAGAACTCAGCAAGGGCCTCCCCGGTGGTGCAGTGGTTGAGCGCTGGCCTCTGCGGTGCCGGTTCGATCCCCAGCTGCTCCCCGGCCACCAGAGGAGGGTCCCACATGGCGTGCAGACCTCTCCTGCCGCCCGCTGCTCCCCTCAGCAGTGTCCTTCGGTCCTTCTGCCTGCTCTGCTCCCCGCTCTGGCTCTGGTGAATTCTCTCACCCTCCCGCGCTTCTGACTGTACCCAGTGCATGTATAAACAAAACAAACAAACAAATAAATAAATAAATAAAACATGCCTCTATTAAAAAAAAAAAACAACTTTAAAATTAAAAAAAAAAAAAAGAACTCAGCAAGTGGTCGAGGGTGGGGGCTGCAGTCCCAGAATAATTGGGTTCAAATCCCATCTCTAACCACTTACTAGCGTGACTTTCAGCACACACTTCACTGCTTGGAGCTTGTTTCCTTGCTGGTAAACTGTCCACAGTTGACAGGGGGGCTGTCTGGGTTACCGGAGATGACACATTTAAAGTCCCGAGCACAGTTTCTGGACCGCCATAGCTGCCAGCTACTCTGTACTTACCATGAGAGGTTGTACCCCTCCGCACCTGCCCTCCCCGCTGTAGCATGGAGACTAGCGGGTGGGGAAGGCAACTGGGAGCTGTCTCCCTGAAGGGGAGATCTGATCAGAAGTTTGGAAGAGTGAGGAGTGTGATCAGTTATGGGCCATTGGTTTGAATGCCTCTGTCTTGCTAGGCGGTGAGTCGCAAAAAGAGCTACTTTTGCTACCACTTTATCCCCAGAGCCTATGACAGAGACTAGGCACTTAATAAATATGTGCTGCATGAATGAAAGAGAGAGCCCAGCTCCTTCTGAGGATAAATTCCCCTCCATAGAGGGCAAGTCCAGGACTCTCCTGGGTGAGGCGGGTTGAGAAGGGGAGCATTCAGGGACTTACAGAGTCTCTCTTTGCATGCAAGAGTCTCAGACAGTTGGACTCATAAATTCTTCGAATCCTGGAAACTCTGGGTGGAGAGAGGCTCTGACGGGCTGCCCAGCCCCGCCCCGCCTCTTCCCAGGAGTGCCCCAGCTGGGCTGGGGAAGCCTGGCAACCTGGCTAGAAAGTGAAGCTCAGGGGGGGTCAGCAGAGGAAGGGGAAAGTCAAGGTGAAACCACAATATTTTCCTCAAGGCAGAAAAATAAAACCAAAGATCGGAAAGGGTTTGATAGCGGAAATAGCACTGCTATTTCCTGACTCTGTTCTCTTAAGCAAATTCCTTCATCTCTCTGAGACCTTTATTACCACATCTGTAAAATGGGGTAAAAATGATAATACCACATTGAAGTGTTGGGGAGACTAAGCCAAGCCCACAGCAAACACTCAAAAATGTTCTTTACATTATCTTTTGCGAGGGGTACTAATTTACCCCTCATATCCACATTCATTTCTGAGAGCTGCTCCCCCCACTATTTACATAGCTGCTTTCATAGCTTTTAGAGATTGATGGCATTTCTGACAGATAAAAGACCGATTTGCTTTTTTTCCACAAAGTGGCCCAAATAACAAGTAATATGTAAAGAAATAAAACCAACTGGAATATTGTCAGCCTTGATCACTCAAAAAAGTCATGGCAGTGGGGTTTGGAAAAGAGAGGACAGGTGGTTGGAAGGTAAAGGGCTGAGGACTGGGGATCTTGGTTCAAGACCAATGGCAGCCTTGATGTACTTACTGTTTGCTTCTAGGAAGGTCCCTGCTCTTTGGCAACAAGGGAAGTTGAACTTGGGGACTCTTGAGCCCCTTCCATCCTCCGGGTCTAAGGATCTTAAACCTGTAATGACACAACAAGCCCCCTCCTCAGAAGAGGCCCAGGGTGAGGTGAGCGGGGCCTGTGCAAAGCCTAGGATGCTGCCCCTGGCCCCCCGCTCAGCCCAGGTGTTCCACATGCTCCCACAGGCCCCTGTGACTACGCCCTATCCCCTTAGCTGAGGCCCTCCAGGGAGGGGAGCTCATCACTTCACACCCGCTATATCCAGAGCGTCTCAAGAGAAATCAGTGCCAATGATGGTAGCTAACTCGCTGAGCTGGGGTTGACCCCAAGTGTGTGTAACTCCCAACATGCCGGTTGCTGCTTTTTCAAAAATAATTTAAATCATCAAGACAACCCGAAAGATCTATTATCTTTCCCATTTTACAGGTGAGTGGGTGTCATCATCAAAGTAAGCACCTTATAGGAAGGAAACAGTCCTAAGAAGTGGCTTGCTAAGAGGCAGCGCTGGAATTTAAAAGCAGGCTATTACAGCAGGGCTGTCTGAAATCCAGGGCTATTTCTCTGTGCGATAGACACTTTCCTCTCCGTGGGACTCAGGTTCCTCATCTGCAGCACAAGGAGGTTAGCTCCAGAACCTCTAACATCCAAGTTGGGACTCTTTGCTACTCTGAGCCCAAGTCCGCACCCAGAAGCCTCCAACAACCCGGAGGGCTTGGGCGGGACCGACGGGCAGGTGTAGACAAGACTGTCAGAGGGGAAGGGGGCGCCGCCAGACACGCAAAAACAACCAAATAAATTAGGGCCAGGAGCTCCTAATCCTTCCCGGCTGCGGCTGCGCTGTGAGCTGTGGCTGCCACCACTCGCCCGGCCGAGCCGCGTCCCTGGCCGGCTCCCGGGGCCTGGGCGGTCGCGGGGGCAAGCCAAGAGCGCCGTCGGCCAACAGGGCCGGAGAGAGGCCCGGCCTTAGCAAGGCTGCCGGGGAAGGAGGCGGGAGGCCCTCCCAGCCGGTGACTCAGGCCTCCCGGACCCCCTCCTGGGTGGGCTTGCTCCCGCGTCTTGGTCTATTTTTAGAGCCGGCTCCAGGCCTGAGCACAGAGGGGCAAAGAAGGGGGGGCCCCCATGGGGAGGCAGGAGCCTTCCCAGCTCCTCTCAGCCCGAGCACCAGGCCCTGCAGCTGTCTGTCTAGAAGGAATGGAAGAACTGGGGAGAAAAGGGGTGGCGACTGGCAAGGGTGAGGCGCAGGCCCAAAGAATGCACCCCCTTCCGCCCCTCCGTAGGGCCCGGGCGCTCCGGGGAACGGGGCGCGGCCCCCCAGCCCGGCCTCCGCCAGCCCCAGGCTTAGCCGGCGGAGCGGGCTCCGGGCTGGGGCGAGCGCGGGCGGCGCCGGCGGGTTGGCTACGGCTACGCACGTGACTTGGAGTCGGCTGTGGGATTGCAGGGGCGCCTTATAGGTTCTGGGGATCCCGACCCCACCCCACCAGCGGCCACGTCCCTCACCCCCGCCTCGGGCCACACCCAGGCCCCGGGGCTTTCGTGGCCCCACCCCTGGCCCGCCCAGTCCTGGCCTACAGAGTCTCTTTCTCTTAAATGTATTTATTCATTTTTAATTGAGGTAATATTTGGATACCCCCATGAGGGACTATCACCGTAGTGCAACCACCGTCCCTCTTTTTCTTGCCCCCAGTGCGCTCCCACCTCGCGCCCGTGCCCAGGGCTCGGGAGGCCTGGATGCCTGGACGGTGCAGGGCGGGGCGGCTGCAGCGCCTGCTCCGGAGCTGGGGCAGAAGGGAGAGGAACGGGGCGCTCCTCCCCCAGCGTGGGGCGAGGGAGCAGGAGAGCGGCCGGCAAGAATGGCGCCTTTTAGGGGAGGTCTCCGGGCTGAGGCGCATCTGCGGGAGCCGGGCAGTCTTCCAGGCTCAAGAGGCAGTGGCAGCCCCCAGCATCGAAACACCCCCGTCTATGCGGCACAGGGTGGCCCACGGAGGCACCTGGGGCAGAGCCCTGTGGGCTGACACCCCTCCCACCGGGTTCCCGGAGCGGAGGCCGCCGTCCTGGGGCGTGGGCACAGCTGAGGGCCCAGAATGCCTGAGAGCTCAGGCAAGAGGGGTTTGGGGAGGCCCAAACCACCGGCCCAGGAAAGGAGGCGGAGTCGTCTCCCTGCACCAGCCCTCCATCTAGTGGGAAGTTTGGGAATCGCGGGGTGCAGAGGTGGGGTGGGGGGAGGGGTGCATTGCATCCTGAATCCTGCCTCTCAGAGCGTCCCGTCCCGCTAGCACCTGCACAGGGCCATTCTGTCCAGTCTGCACCATCTCAGGGATTTGCCCCAGATAGGCATTTGATGGTGTATTTCCTCTCCGCACACCCCCTGTCCCCCCAGCTACCAAGTCCTGTCCCTTCTTCCTCATCGATATCTAGAATGCCCTCTTCTCTCCATCACCACCATGACCACCATCCTTTGCCCAGATCCCTGCAGCTCCAGCCAACTGCTCCACCTGCCTCTGATTCTACCCAGCCCCCATCTATTCTACTATTAGCTAATACTATTCTAGTACTAGCGTTTCTAAAACACATCTGATCGCTTCTGTGATTAAAATCTTTGAATGGCTTCTCATGGGCAACATGAACTCCAGACCTGGGCTTGGGACTTAGGAGGTCTTCAGTCCTAAATATCACCCCCATTTTCTCCCACACCCCAGGTGGCTCTCACCAGACCTTCACACCCACTGTTTCCTTTTCCTGGAACACTTTTCCAGGCTGTGTTCAGGACTCAGTCTTGCAGAAACTTCTTTCTTTAGGAGACCTTTCCTGGCCCACAGGTGAGTTAGGTGCCCCTTGTCTGAGCTCACACCCCCTCCACCGCTCTGCTCTCGAGTGGTTACTGCCTGGTCTCTCCTCGCCTATTCTCTCTGGTGACAGGAGACTTTATTGAGATGTTAATTGTTTTCCTCCCCTCCCAGTTCCAAGCCAGTATCCGGCTCTTTGATTTTTCTAGCCTGGGGAACTGTGCAGAACTGAACACAGAAGCTGCTTGAAGTCTGATGGCTCCTCCTGACTTTTGAGAAGGCTAACCTCCGGGAAGTGACAGTGCTAGATGTTCCCAAGGGTTGGGGAGATGAGGAGAGAGAAAGAAGAAATAGCAGCAAGCCACAGGGGAGGGGAGGGGGAGTCCTGTGGCAGTGACGACCTGCGTCCTGCAGTGTCCCTGCCACACGCAGGCAGATGGGTGGTGCACCTGGGGAGGCAGGCACCCGAGCTCTGGGGTACAGCCACAGTACCCTGAAGTGGCAGAGGAACACTCCCACCCTGATGTGCTGAGACTCAAGAGACCATGTGGACCGTCAGTGGTCATCTCTGAGTGACCAATATAGACTGAAGACAGGAGGCACCTCCTTCCTGCTTAGGCCCGGGGGCAGGGGGTCAGCAGATCTCCCCAAG